GCCGCGGGGGGGCCCCGGAGAGGCGGGGCCCGACCGGGGGCGGCAGCGGTGCCCGGAGCCTCACAAAGCCTGCCTGGCCCCTCGGAACCCTGCCCGCGAGGACCGCCCCCAGGCTGGGCAGGGGTCAACGTCTCCCCTAGAATGACTGACTGGGAGGGGAGTCCCTCCTTTTAGGGCTGGAGGAGCCCTCACTCTTCTCGGAGGGAGGAGGGGTGGTTCACCTGGCAGAGACTTGGGGGAGATAGCCACGCCCCGTTTCTCCTGCTTTCCCCGGACTCCCCCAACCCTCGCGCCCCGCTCACTGCCTCCTCCAGCCATTTGAGTCAGATCTCGTGCCATTATCCCGCAAGTCTTCCAAAGATGGAGTGATTACTTTTTGCCCCCCACCCCCACCCCGAATAAATTCCCGGGGTCCCTCTCCTCGCACGTGGCCTCCCGGAGCAAGCCTTACCTGCAGCCCCCGCCGCCGCGGCGAGGAGCAGACCGAGGGTCCAGCGCAGCCTCCAACCCCCGGACCCCATGCTTGCAGCCTCAGCAGTCCAAGTCCCGACCCGGATCACGACCCGCTGCGCCCGCGCTGGGAACCCTGGCTTCCTGCGACTGGGCGCGGGTCCGCGTCATTTGCAGCATTTCAATGTGATGTTTCCAACAGGGGGAGGAGTTTGCAGTGGGGTGATTTTCAAATGTCTTCACCTCACAGTGAGAGGAGGAGTCTCGAACGGCCGATGTGACATCGGTTTTTTAACCCGTGAATTCCTGACTCGGGTTCCCAGTCCCTCACAAGCGGCGCGGGGACAGACGGCTTGATTTGTACTATCTGGGTCTCGGGTGAAAAGCTGACTGCCCTCCACTCCCCCCGCCAAAAAAAGTTGCAAGTTCGTCTCCTGAAAGATCCCTCTGAAATTTCTCAACTTTTTACTAGTACGGGTGTGGGATTTTTTGGTGTCCAAAGAAAGATAACAACCATCCTCCCAAACCCGCTAATCACCTAGTGACAATCTCCATTCTGCCTCAAAAGGGAAAGACTGGAAGTATTAGAAACCCTACCCCCTTTCTAAATTTGCTTTTTTTCTTTCTAGGAATTGCATATAGATTCTTAGCTTAGTTTATTTGCATATGGTTTTCAGATGGTCATTCCCAATAGCTTTATCAACAGTGATCAATGAGAAATTGAAATAAAATCTTCATGAAAATACAGCCAAAGAAAAAAGAATTTTGTTTTGTGGGATCCAGCCCTTGGATGAATTATGAGCAAAAACATCTAAAAAAATCAATTGACCGTTCCCTGGGGTCTGGACATAAATATTGATTTATCCTTTCAGGAGGAGTTGAACAAACAGAAGGGCAGGCGGCTTCCTCTCCCTTAAAGCTAAATCAAAACAAATCACAACTTTCCAGGCGAGCCTGGCCCCACCGGAGAGCTGGGCAGAGCGGCTTCTCCTCCCCCGGAGTCTCTTGGGATCCATGGGTTTGCCAGAGGCCCCTTGCCAAAAAGGCGTGTGTGGGAAACTTGTCTGAACCCCACAAAGTGCCTGGCAGTCCCAGAGGGCTACCCTAGGAATGAGCTGGAGTTCTGTGGGGTTTTGCAAACGAGTTGGCAGAGAATGCTGATCTCTCAGCAGGATTTTTTTTTTAAGTTGGAGTCTCCCTCTGTGGCCCAGGCTGGAGTGCCACTGCACTCCAGCACCTCCTGAGCTCAGGAGATCCTCCTGCCTCAGCCTCCTGAGTAGCTGGGACTACAGGCACATGCCACCACACACGGCTAATTTTTTCATTTTACTGTAGAGATGAGGTCTCACTATGTGCAATCCTTTTGCCTTAGCCTCCCAAAGTCCCTGGTTTACAGGCATGAGCCACCACGCCTGGCTTTCAGTAGGATTATAGAGAAGCTCAGGAGAGAGGAGGCAGCAATGGGACCAAAGAACCCTCAGAGAGAAAAACAATGATTAATTCAGAGGGAAACATTTTTGAGCAGCATTTTTGGCAGTTAGGTCCCTGCTTTGGAACCAGACAGACATTGCGCAGGTAAATTAGCTTTCTCAGTCTGTAAAGGGGCCATGAAAATGCTTGTTTCTCCTACTTGGCAGGTTCACTGCTAAGGTCAAATGAAGTAAGTAGCGATCACCTGGGATATTGACAAGGCTAGGCAAGTTCTAGGAATTATTCCAACATTTATGGATGTCTTCACATTAAATTCAATTCCTTATCCTATATGCTATGTCTTCTTTTGTTTTTGTTTTTGTTTTAAATTGGAATCTCACCCTGTCGCCAAGGCTGGAGTACAGTGGCATGCCCACCACCACCACAGCCTCAGCCTTCCAAGTAGCTGGAACCACAGGCGTGCGTCACCACGCCTGGCTAATTTTTTTATTTACTGCAGAGACTAGGTCTCGCCATGTTGCCGCAGGTTGGTCTCGAACCCCTGGGCTCATGCAACCCTCTTGCCTCCACCTCCCTAAGTTCTGGGATTACGGACATGAGCCACCACATCCAGCTTCATATGCTATGTTTAAAACAAAATCGGCTGGGCTCGGTGGCTCAGCCCGTAATCCCAGCACTTCGGGAAGCCAAGGTGAGTGGATTGCCTGAACCTGCGGGTTTGAGACCAGCCAGGACAACCTGGCAAGACCTCGTCTCTACAATAAAATAAAAAATAGGCTGGCGTAGTAGCGTGTGTCTGTAGTTCCAGCTACTTGGAAGGCTGAGGCGGAAGGAAGTCTGGGCGAAGGAGTGAGACTCCAACTCAAAAAAAAAAAAAAATCAGCCAGGTGCAATGGCTCAAGCCTGTAACCCCAGCACTTTGGGAGGCCAAGGTGAGAAGACGGCCTGAGTCCACGGGTTCGAGACCAACCTGAGCAATTTTGTGAGACCACGTCTCTACAATAAATCAGAAATTAGCTGGGTGTGGTAGCATACACCTGTAGTTCCGGATACTTGGAAGGCTGAAGCGGAAGGATCGCCAGAGCCCAGCAGGTCGACGCTGGGGTGGCCATGAACATGCCACTGCACTCCAGCCTGGGTAAAAGGTGAGACTCCAACTCAAAAAAAAAAAAATCAGAGGCTGATGACTATAATCTCAGTGCTTTGGGAAGCTGAGGTGGGAGGATTGCTTGAGGCCATGAGTTGGAGGCTGCCATGAGCTCTGATTGCATCACTGCACTCCAGCCTGAGTGACAGAGCGAGACATTGTCTCTAAAAAACAAAAATAAGCCGGGCTCGGTGGCTCAGCCTGTAATCCCGCGCCTTTGGGAGGCTGAGGTGAGTGGATTGCCTGAGCCCGCAGGTTCAAGACCTGCCTGGGCAGCGAGACCTCATCTCTACAATAAATCAAAAAATCAGCCGGGCGTGGTAGCGCATGCCTGTAATTCCAGCTACTCAGAAGGCTGAGGCGGAAGGATCACCGGAGCCCAGCAGGTCGAGGCTGCGGTGGCCAGGAGCGGCCACTGCACTCCAGTCTGGGCGACAGAGTGAGACTCCAACTCAAAAAAACAAACAAAAAAAAAACCCAAAAATAAAAATAAATCTGAATCACTGAATTTCATATCCCTTTAGAAAAACTAGAAGAAGCCGGGCACATGGCTCACGCCTGTAATCCCAACACTTTAGGAGGCCAAGGCGAGAGGAATGCCTGAGCCCATGGGTTCAAGACCAGCCTGGACAACTTGGCAAGACCTCGTCTCTACAATAAATTAAAAAATTGGCCCAGTGTGGTAGCGTGTGCCTGCAGATTCAGCTACTTGGAAGGCTGAGACAGGAGGATCACCTGAGCCCAGCTGGGCAACAGAGTGAGAGCCCATCTATACAAAAAATCACCTGGGCATGGTGGCACATGCCTGTAGTCCCAGCTACTTGGGAGGCTGAGTAGAAGGATCGCCTGAGTCCATTAGGTCGAGGCTGCAGTGGCTGTGAGCATGCCACTGAACTCTAGCCTAGGAGACAAAGTGAGACTCCGACTAAAAAAAAACAAAAAAAGAAAGGAAAGCAAGAAGACATAACACACTGTTTGTGTTGAGTCCAGGTCTCTATCCACTTGGCATAGCCCTGGTTCCATGAAGGCTGGAAGGAGTCGTTAGGAGGGGACTCTCTTCCCGGAAGATACTTGGCTTGAATTGTCCCCAGAAGCCGGGCTAGGTGGCTCAGCCTGTAATCCTGCGCCTTGGGAGGCTGAGGTGAGTGGATTGCCTGAGCCCGCAGGTTGGAGACCTGCCTGGCAACTTGGTGAGACCTCATCTCTACAATGAATCAAAAAAATTAGCCAGGTGTGGTAGCGCGTGCCTGTAGTTCCAGCTACTTGGAAGGCTGAGGCGGAAGGATCGCCGGAGCCCAGCAGGTCAAGGCTGCGGTGGCCGGGAGCGGCCACTGCACTCCAGGCTGGGCGACAGTGAGACTCCGACTCAAAAAAAAAAAAAAAAAAAAAAAAATTGTCCCCAGAGCTACAAGGTAGGGCAGGCCTGGAAAAGAGCCACAAATGCTCTGAAAAGCACATTCCTGAGATGCCAAGGCTTCGGGCTTCCAGGACTCTGTCACCATGCCTGGCTAATTTTTAAAAATTTACATTATGTTACTAATTTGTTATGCGGCCATACTATTCTAGAACTCCTGAGTTCAACCAATCCTCCCAAAGTGTTGGGGTTACAGGCGTGAGCCAGCGTGCTCGCCTGATCCCTTTTTATAGACATAATCTGCCATGTTCTCTTTCCCGGAGTTCTTGGGGCAAGGGGTGTGTTTCTCTGTTTTAAATCTCCCAAAATCAACTCAGGGAGGGACTCTCTGCATTCTCAATCCAGGTTTGCTTTTGAATCACGTGTTCTGTTTGAAATGAAGGACGGACAGCCTAAGACAAGATCTGAGTTCCCAGTGATCAAACTCCTAAATGAAAGTGAAATTCAGAAGTAGCAGGTCTCTGGAGTAGTCGCGGGTGAGCTGGCAGGACAGACTCCCACGTTCGCTTGTTTCTGTGTCCCTTTCTACAGTAGGCCACCAGGCACTGAAGACACAAAACACAGGGCCTGTCCTCACTGGGCTCCTGGGCCTTTTCTGGAGATAACTGAGACTTACTGAGCCAAGGCAGGTCCTGGGTGTACCTGCTGGGAGGCACAGAGGCCTCTGCAGCCACTCTTTCTCTGCCGACTTGAAGGCCAGCACCCAGCCGCGGTGGCTCACCACGACCCAAGGCCAGGCATGATGGGCAGGGACCTGTTCCGCTCAGAGCCTTCTGGTGACTTAGAGACATGGACGCAGGTGAGGGCAGGTGAGCGCAGCAGGTTGCTGTCCTTTACCTTGACGAGAACATTTGCCCATGGTTGTGTTTGATCACTTTTCCAGCCCAGGAACTAAATACAGTAGATTCCCCAGAAGGATTATTGACTGCATGCCCAGTAGACACAGGAACCAGCAGGACTTCCCCAGAGTTTTTTTTTTTTTTTTAATGGTGCAATTGCAACACAAAAGCAGCCAAAGAAAAATGCAAGCCCATATATGGTATTTGTAAACATCAAGTGTGGTTCTAACCACTTTTTTTTTTTTTTAGACAGTCTTCTTGCTCTGTGCCCAGGCTGGAGTGCAGTGATATGATTATAATTCACTGCAGTCTCAAACTCCTGGGCTCAAGTGACGCTCCCACCTCCCACCC